TTCATTTATGCAATGGATTTTCATGCATTTCATTTCAACAACTTCAATTTCATAAATCATATGACTTAATCATGATGCATTTTTGACTGCACTTTTCCTTTAAGCGATGAGAATATTCATCTTGCAAAAAGTCTGTATTTCCAGGTTTCAGCAGCACTGAATTTTCCTCACATGCTGTTGTTCTTCGCACGCAGCGTATGAGAAATATGCCGTTACAGACAGATGTGACTGTGATGGATGCCCAGGCAATAACGCCACAGATGCATCTGGACCTTTAAACAAAGAAATAACTATCGATTGCATCTGAGTCTGACAGGCGCTCAGTCATATCCGTCGTAGAGGAGCTCTTTCCTTTGCCCCGGCGATGATGAGTGTGTTTGATTACACGTGGCTAGTAAATATTGCTTTCCCACCAATGATGTGGCGTGTCAAAATACATCTCCATCCTGACGAGAGACCAGTCATTTCCACACGCATTTCTCTGCACTGTAAATATTATTCTCCCACTCGCATCACGCTGAGCGCGGCCGACTCTGATTTGATGTGTTAGCCGAGCGCTGTTCACAAAATGTGTTTCATTTTTTGAGCATTTCTGTCTTTTTTTCCAGAGTCTATTTTCCAAAACATTTGCTGCAAAAAAAGAGAGAAACTTTGCGTCGACTCTGAAGATAAAAAGCAGCACTGGCTCACAAAGATTAAAAAAATTATTTACATAACTATAAAATAGAAGTTTCCATAAATCCGTTGCAATCAAATCAAATCACTTAATGAAAAAAATCTAGAAGATTATTAATAATATAAATAAGTATTGTAATATATCTTTATATCACAAAGATAAAATGAATTTATTTTAATTTAAAAATTCAATTAAAAATAAATAATAATGTAATTAAATATTTTTTTTATATTATATTTTTTATATCACAAAGATAAAAGATACATAAATATTCACATACGTTTCCGTAAACCCATTCAATAGAAACATTATTAATTTCATTACATAATTACAAATGCATTATTAAAAATGTTTAAATTTATTATAATGATGTTATAATTTAAAATAACAAAATATTAATAAATAAATTTTAAAAATTACAATTAATTATCAAATTTTATATAATATTATAATGATATACTATATCATAATATAATAAAAAAAAATCATATTATATATTATATTGTTATTAGAAAAGATTATATAAAAACATCCATGAATTTGTGGCGTGGCTGTGCTTGGGTTGTGTTTTTGAGAGACGAGCGCGTCGGTGATGAATCGACTGAGAGCTGGAGTAAATAAATCATTCTGGAAGGCATTAGCCCAGTTTTCTATCCTGTTTGCTAATTATCTCACTAACGCTCTCAAATCCCGCGCTCCCACAGGATGGAGGCTAATGGCCAGTCATAATAGCGCTGTTTAACGGCCAAGCCGACGATAAAGTATCTTAATTCCTCTTCTCTCCTCCGTAATGGGAAGAAATTAATGACAGCGTGGATCTCATGCGAGCGTCAGGATTACAGACGCACCAGCGCAGACGACCGTAATGAGAGACAGACTCAAACCAGCATGAACATGAGGTCAGAGGTCACCGAGAGCAGGCCTGCCTCATAGACGCTCAGTGCTGAACACACACACACACACACACACACACAGACTGACGCATGTATTCATTCATACTGTGCAGAATTAGGGGCTCTTTATACACACTGTTGGTGGCCAATATGAGTTACTCGGGAACTGAAGCTGGAGAAGCATCAGAAATAACTCAATGTGAAAAAATAATAATAATACAAACTATTAACATATAAGTAAAACTATAAACCGTTGTCTTTGTTGTTTCCAAAAAATAAAGGATACATTTGCATAAATATTTTCACACAGGTTTTCATAAATCCATTAAATAGGCAAATTAATAGCAATCGCATTACATTATTAAAAATCAAAAAGTGCTCATACTGAAATGTTATAATTTATAATAAATGTTATATATTTTATAATAATATAATTACATATTTTTTGTTATATTAGCATATATTATTATATAAAATAGTATTATTAATTTGTTGTGTTTGTCCATTATATATAGTATATATTATTATATATACAATATAATAATATAAAATGAATAATCATATTTATATATTATGATAATAAGAATAATATAACAATATTACCCTAATATAATTGGTGTAATATATAAAAACATTATAATATAAATGTGTATGTATAATACATTTTATATAAATATAAAAATATATTTATATTTTAAAAAATTATGTGATTTATGTAATTTGTAATTTTTTATTTTTTGCAAATCGCTCTTGTGGTAGCTTACTTTGATGGCATAAAATTTTTGATGCGCTCATACGGTGCGCCCATGCTCCTCCAATTAGTGATCCATTAACGGTTTAAATAATTAACGTTCGTTAAGAAAACTGGGGGGCAGTGCCGGGCCTGATCAGCCTACTAATGGTTTACTTGCGGCCACTCTGAATATTAAAGGGTTCACCCAAACATGAAAATTAGCCCATAAATTACTCACCCTCAAGTCCATCCTAGGTGTACAGGTGCATCTCAATAAATTAGAATGTCGTGGAAAAGTTCATTTATTTCAGTAATTCAACTCAAATTGTGAAACTCGTGTATTAAATAAATTCAATGCACACAGACTGAAGTAGTTTAAGCCTTTGGTTCTTTTAATTGTGATGATTTTGGCTCACATTTAACAAAAACCCACCAATTCACTATCTCAACAAATTAGAATACTTCATAAGACCAATAAAAAAACATTTTTAGTGAATTGTTGGCCTTCTGGAAAGTATGTTCATGTACTGTACATGTACTCAATATTTGGTAGGGGCTCCTTTTGCTTTAATTACTGCCTCAATTCGGCGTGGCATGGAGATGATCAGTTTGTGGCACTGCTGAGGTGGTATGGAAGCCCAGGTTTCTTTGACAGTGGCCTTCAGCTCATTTTCCTCTTGACAATACCCCATAGATTCTCTATCACCAGCGCAGACGACCGTAATGAGAGACAGACTCAAACCAGCATGAACATGAGGTCAGAGGTCACCGAGAGCAGGCCTGCCTCATAGACGCTCAGTGCTGAACACACACACACACACACACACACACAGACTGACGCATGTATTCATTCATACTGTGCAGAATTAGGGGCTCTTTATACACACTGTTGGTGGCCAATATGAGTTACTCGGGAACTGAAGCTGGAGAAGCATCAGAAATAACTCAATGTGAAAAAATAATAATAATACAAACTATTAACATATAAGTAAAACTATAAACCGTTGTCTTTGTTGTTTCCAAAAAATAAAGGATACATTTGCATAAATATTTTCACACAGGTTTTCATAAATCCATTAAATAGTCAAATTAATAGCAATCGCATTACATTATTAAAAATCAAAAAGTGCTCATACTGAAATGTTATAATTTATAATAAATGTTATATATTTTATAATAATATAATTACATATTTTTTGTTATATTAGCATATATTATTATATAAAATAGTATTATTAATTTGTTGTGTTTGTCCATTATATATTATATATAGTATATATTATTATATATACAATATAATAATATAAAATGAATAATCATATTTATATATTATGATAATAAGAATAATATAACAATATTACCCTAATATAATTGGTGTAATATATAAAAACATTATAATATAAATGTGTATGTATAATACATTTTATATAAATATAAAAATATATTTATATTTTAAAAAATTATGTGATTTATGTAATTTGTAATTTTTTATTTTTTGCAAATCGCTCTTGTGGTAGCTTACTTTGATGGCATAAAATTTTTGATGCGCTCATACGGTGCGCCCATGCTCCTCCAATTAGTGATCCATTAACGGTTTAAATAATTAACGTTCGTTAAGAAAACTGGGGGGCAGTGCCGGGCCTGATCAGCCTACTAATGGTTTACTTGCGGCCACTCTGAATATTAAAGGGTTCACCCAAACATGAAAATTAGCCCATAAATTACTCACCCTCAAGTCCATCCTAGGTGTACAGGTGCATCTCAATAAATTAGAATGTCGTGGAAAAGTTCATTTATTTCAGTAATTCAACTCAAATTGTGAAACTCGTGTATTAAATAAATTCAGCACACAGACTGAAGTAGTTTAAGCCT